TAATTATTTTGAAGATATACATATATATATATATATACATACATACATATATATATTTAATTTCATAGATTGTTCTATACAGTCATGATAAATAAGTAAATAAACACACTGTTTTTCTTTTCTTTTTTTTTTTTTTTTTTGGCAAAATTTTTCATAGATATATATATATATATCTGCTCAGATATTAAGGCATGATATGCATAGGCACAAAGATTGAGACATGTATGTTTTGTTTGATACTCGTCTATTGCAACAAAAAGGCATATAATTGAATGTATTAACAACACTACAAAAAAATAATATATTTGTAACGGAATTCCGTCCTTAAAGTTCACGTAGCTAACGTAATTCCGTTCCTAATTCCGTCTCTAATGTCATTAGTAACGGAAAAAAGCAGATTTAGAGACAAAAAAGTTTTGTTATAAAAATGATTTTTTCTTGTAGTGCAAAAACAATTTCGCATAAACATGAGTCTTGTTTCACAATAATTTATTCTATATATATAATACATTCGATCTAATGCATATATCATATGTTCAAGAATTCGTACAGCATCCAAAGATTAAATGTACTGACGTTTAGTCAAGTTCACAAAGAAAAACCATACATATCTTTCTTTAATTAAGCATCAATATAATTAACCAAATATTAGAGGATTAATTGGACACAAAAGTTTTGGGAACCAAGATTCATGCAAGAAATTCAGTAATGACTGAATGAAGGAAAAAGAAAAAAATCAAACTGCGACATAAATCAGTCAATTAATTGGATCATAAATTGAACCCATACAATTAAGAGGGTTTAGAATCGTACTATTCAATCTGATATTTCAATAATTCTAACTTGGTTTGATACAAATTGTTGAATTTAAAATATAATAGAAACATAAATATTACTTCCTCCGTTCCGACTAAGAAGTATATATTTACTTTTGGTGCAGAGTTTAAAATATAATAGTATTTTATTTACATAAAAATAACATAATAACATTTTTGTCTTTACTTTTGGTATAAAAGTAATGATGTGATGTAAAATAAAAGTATTTGTAGAAAAAAAATGGAGTATTTAATTTAAATAGATACTTTGTAATTGGACATCACAAAATATAAATATGTATACTTTGTAGCTAGCAGAAAAAATATTAATTTATTTTTATATATAATTTTATATTAAAAATATATAAAATAAAATAAATTTATTGAAAGTTATAAATATAATAAAATAATTAATTAATTATTAATGAACATAATAAATACATACAATAAAACTTTATTATTTTATATTTTCCACTATTTTCAATAAAAATATATTAATCTTTCCAAATATAAAAATAATGAAAATAAATATTAATGTATTTAGAATTTTAAATAACTAATAACAAAAAAAAGGAAAAAATTCAAATTTCTAAATCCAAAATATCACAATTGAGTATTTTAAAAAATAAAATATAAATATCTTCGATTGTCAATTTACGCATAAATAGTAAGATCAAACAATTGTTTTAACAAATACTTTAATACAACTAATTAATTAAATCAACTAGTCAAATCAATTAATTAAATCACGTAAAAGCTAACCCGTCAATTAAATCAACTAAAAATAATATTTGGTGATTAAAGGTTTGATCTTCTAGGATCGAAACGTTGGTTTCTTTTATATCTTTGACGGTCTACGGCACTATGTCCTGAAGAACTAACCCTAACCTATTTATAATATGACATACATAATTGTAATTACAATTATGTCCATTCTTAATTAATATTATTAATATATCACGTCATCAAAGTAATATATACTTTCATTCTATAACAGTGAATAAAAATATATCCGATACACATATTTGATCCAAAATTCAACAAAACAAACCTCATATAAGTTTATTGAATTTTTTAAAATGTGAATTTTCTTTGACCATCTGTTATATATTTATTTTTCTTTTTATCCATCTCTTATAAATAACAGTATTATCAATTTCTAATAATTTGTTTAGAAAAACAGATACGTTTATCTTTTTATATCAAACAACTACTTTTATGGTTTAAATATTATTATCTTTTACTTTAAATCTAATATATATATATATATATATATATTTCCTGAACGTACGGAGATTATATAGAAATATAAAATTGTTGGTTTAGTCATGTTTTCTCGTATTTTTCTCCAATAATATATGCTTTTATCCTAAACATAATAAATTAAATAACTATTATCATAAAATGTAGAACTAAAATTATTTTTTATTTAAAACTTCAAGCAAATATTAATGCCTCTTTTTTAAGAAAAGATTTTTATCACTTTTTTGAACATATAATCTCCACGATATTTTATAAATATATATATATTATTTTTAATAAAAATTACATACAACAATTATTTAAACATAATATATAAACACAAACTAAACACACTCATTAATATATATATATATATATATTCCCCATTTAACAACTAAGTGCAATATAAATTTTAATTATTTCTAAAACAATTCAAAATCACACTAAACAACAACCAAACCAAACAAACCAAAAGTTTAGGACAACAATCACAACATGTTGGATTGGGTCCAACTAACCAAAGTCAATTCTTGAAAACTACATACAACAACACTAAACCCTAGTTTTTAATTCCAACCAAAAAAAAAAGAAAAAGAGTTGAACCATTTTGCCACTAGAACTTGATAGTTGGTTGCCCAATCCATTCTACCCCCAAACCCCACCTACCCACCCACCCACCCCTCAAAACACCCCCCACACTTTTATTACATCCTCTACACACACACCCCATTCATGATCAACCAAAAACACCATGCACAAAACCCCTTCTTCATCATCATGGAACAACATCAAGAACATCAACAATATTCTCATCACTACTTCCCAATGGGAAACATCAACACATCCTCATCAAGAATCATGAGAACCTCCATCTTCACTTTCCTACAAAACTACCATTTCTTCTCCCTAACCCCATCCTTCATCTTGCTCCCTTTTGCTCTCTCCACTCTCGTCTCCACGTCGCTCGTCTCTTCTTCTCGTCTCTTTCTTTTACTCCAACTCCGACTAAGGTCCATTTTTCTCGTCGTAGGTCTCCCTCCTTCCTCAGAGCTATTCGTCGTTCTCAACATTAAGCTCTCCCAAACTATCATTTCGTCCCTCTTCGTATCTCCCTTCACCCTCTCGTTCCTTCTCATTGCAAAGGCATTGATTGTCAGAGCACTCGATCACCAGAATCAATCCTGTCAGAAAATTACTTTGTTTGATAGGTTTTTAGCATTTAAATCACTATTTTTCACCCAACTATGGAGCTCCCTACTAATAATATTGACTAATATAGCGTGCCTTGCCGTTTTGGCTTTATCTTTTAGTTGCTCGGACGCCTTAGGCTTCTCGTCGCCTAAGTCCCGTCTCCTTCTCTCGGCGATTGGAGCCATAACTTACTCAATTGTTCTCGCCAAGGCCTACATTATATGTAACTTGTCACTAATTGTGTCGGGACTAGAAAGACGGCTACCTTTTCCACAGTGTGGTGGTTTTTCCTCGATTCTTGAGGTGTGTGTCCTAATTCGGGGTCGGACCGCAACCGCGTTGTCCTTGGCCGTGCCAATAAATGCGACCATGGCGGGCGTTGATGCACTATTTCAATACCGTGTTGTGAAAGCTTATCGCGGGGCCATGGCTCCGGTCTCGTGGATAGCTTTGGAGGCGATGCTAGTCGCGTACTTGTACGCGATCCTCGTGGTGATCGATACGATTGTTGGTTATGTGTTCTTGACGAAGTGTAGATCGAACTATGAGATCCCTCGTGAAGAGGATATTTTGTGCCATGAGATAGAAATCCGAAGGGAAGATGGAAAGAATTTTTAGGGACAAAGGAAACTATTAGAGTTTTGGTGTTTCTGTTTTGATTTGTTTGCTCATTGATTTTTGCAATTTCATAGTATATATTGATCGAATGATTTTTAAGCCCACAAAAATGTATAGTAAACAACATGATCGGTACAATTTTGAGAGAATTATTATTTTATATAAAGTTAATATTCCAAGAATTGTACCGCTTATGATCTGTGTTTTAATTTGTTTTGGATTCGAATTTCTTTATGGAAAAATAATAATATGAAATTGTTTCTAAAATAAATAAATGTGATTTCTTAAAAAAAAAAAAAAAGAAAATAATAATAATAAGAAGAAGAAGAAGTGTTATAGAATATGTAAAAAGTAAATATTTTTTATAGAGAAAAATAAATATTTAATATAATATTTTATACAAATATATATATATATATATATATGATATTTTAAATGTAAATGTTATGAAACTGTTTTTTATAAAAAAAACTGCTTCATTTCCACATATGCCTTTGGATTTTGTTTCTACTTATTCTTTTAAGTGAATTCAGACGGACTCTAATTATCTTACGGTGCTTGTTAAAAACTGAACCACATCCTACACACCAAATGTGCCTGCAAAATGTTGAAGTCTCTATTGTAGCGTATAAAACTCAGACTTGGAATAAAATACATCATATATATATATTTATTTGATTTCTATTAGAGTTTAAGATTTTAATTTAAAATTTAATTTAAATAATATTTAATATAACTTTTTGTGATTTTAATTTAAATAATTTTTTTTGTAAGAAAAGATAATATACCTGTATTGAAAATCATTTTTCCTCCATCCATTTTATTTATATTAATTAAATAGTATATTATCGACAGATAACGATAGTATATTTATTTATTTTAAATAGTATATTCATTCTTCCTCATTTTAATTAAATAGTATCATTTATATATTTATTTTATAATTTTATATTATCGATAATTAAATATATTTATTATTATTATTATTATAAATATAGCCTTCGAGATAATAATAATAATAACAATAATAGTAACATATCTTTTTATATTTGTTTTAAAATTACCCACATGCTATTATTTTTTTAATGGTCCACAATTAATAATAGATAATTCATAATTTAGCAATTCTGGCATAAACAATAAAATAGCCTTTAACCAGTGCACTCTTACAAACATTCCTTATTCTACACATTAAATTAGGCAGGTGTGAAACCTTAGCTATAATACCGTCCAGGGGCATTTTTGTATTTTCCAACAGATTTTTCAGCTCAAATTCCAAATGCCTCTGATTTATTTATTTATGGCAACATTGCCAGAATTCAATGGTATGTAATCTCATCTAATCTAATAAATCTCGCTAAGTTCTAAAACTACATATATATATATATATATATATATAACTCGGCTGCATGAGAAGGTTTTGAATGCAAACCTGACTGCAGAACTGAACCGAATCCAACACATTGTTGCTGTCACAAAGAATCAGCATTCGTCAGTTTATATATATATATATAGGTTAGAGCTCTCTCTGTACATGCGCGCCCGCTACATTCTGACCGGCCTTTGGGTAGGGACCCGAGGAAAGCTGACATGGCAACGCATTTGCGACATTGTCAGACCGATGAGTATCACAAACCAGCATGTAATAATCCATCGAATACGTACCTTTGGATAGAAAATTCCTCTTCTTAAGCTACAACTCCCTCATTCAACAGCCTAGACACAACAAGGCCGCTTGCAGATCAGTGTAAGAAAATCCCGACTAGCCATAGCCACTTCTTGATTGCATTCGACCAAGGGATTTGTGTTTTGTAGGGCATTAAAAAGCGCCCCACCCTCGCTCCATTTGTAAGACTGTATAGTGCATAGATACTTCTCGAAAGCGAGGCCTCCCGGTTGGTCGGCGTCCATCAGTTCAAAGATCTTCATCCAAGACGGTGGGCGCCGTAAAGGGACTATGGATTTCTAGAGAAACATTCAGCTCCCACTTTTCAGGCCTTTCTTAGTCAGATTAATTCCCTTTGCGTTCTCCATTTCAGCCTCCTTTTGAGCTTTCTTTTTTTCCAGTTCGACCTGTTTACAATTCTCCTCGTGTGCTTTCCGGAACATCCTCACAAAATTCAAGAGGGTGACCGTAACTGCAGTAGATGAAAGATTTTGGATCGTGAAATGCAATCTTTTAAGTGTTTCAATGGAGAAATGTAGCCGCGTGTTACCTTGCTCAAATGGGCATCGAGCAGGATCTTCCCCAAAATATAGAGCAAGTGCATCTGCATTTCGCCCCTGCCGAAAAATAACCATGATCAAGATTTAATATTTAAAACAATAACAGTAATAATATGATACAACCAAAATTATTTGAAACTTACCGCCACAGAGTATAGATTAGTTACAGAGAGTACTTCAGTCTCGGCAACACTCAGGAATTCCTTCAATGTCTGCCACACACGACAGTTGTCCCCGGGTAAGAAAAAATATAACAAATGGAAACAAAAACACAAAGAAACGAGATAGTGAAAGTTTAATTCAATAACTGAAAAAATTTGCTAGAAGGAGTAATTCTGCATTGCTCATGTAATAAGTATGCACATAACTGAAATTCAAAATTCATTGGAAACAGGAATACCTTGCGAAATGTATCTGACACAGGACCATCATTTTCCGAAGCTGCCAATTCCTGCTTTACCTTTTCTAAACCTTTGATAATAGCTTGCATTTCTTCTGCCAAAGATTTTAATTGAATCTGGGGGGTGGGGTAGGGTGTTAATATTTATCGAAAGCTGAAACTATTCACCTAGCAGGGGATGTGTATTGACTGACCTTCGAGGCAGCTTCCAAGCTAACAAGATCGTTATGAAAGTCTAGAAGCTCTGGCGTCCTTGAGGCAAGCACCTGCCGAGCAGAAAAAAAAGGGCGGGAGTGGAAGTCAGCTTAAAAGGATTTAACTCATTCAGATTTCCAATATATTTTGCAATCTATGATTGCCCTGACTGGTGTACTACGAAGGGCGTAAGATGACCGGATTTATCTAGAGGCGAACCAAAAACAAATGAAAAGAGCGGCTCAATACCTTACAAAGATAGTGCATAAGTGTCATCTTGTTGTTGGTCGCACGTGTATCTATTAGCTTCAGAAGACTATCTAATTTGAATCCAACGGCAGAACCTGAATGTAAAACATTTTAACTTTAGATGCATCTTAGACTCAAGAAACATCAACGACCGCCATAACCAAAATCAAACTAAAATCTTTGGTAAATTTACAGCAAGAAATGTTACGATGTTAAAACAACAGTGGTGTTAAATAGAGTGCTTAGTGAATTAAGCTTGTTAAGGAATCCAAAGTACCTCTGGCAGTTCCTTGATTCAATGTATTTCCGAGGTATAAGATTTTCTTCATAATCTCTTTCAATTTGAAAGATCTTCGAACCTAATGCAATAATAGAGTTAATGTAATTGAGACAAGAACAAATATAACTAATCAATGATCGCAGAGCACTTGCTTTACCTCTTCACAAGCAGAATTTACAGTGTTCAGACTCTTCTTGAAATCCGACACCTGAGATAGACAAATATTTAGAAAACTAGAATAACAAAGGAATGTTTGGAAGTCATTACATTAAGCATACCTGGGAATTGAACTGAATCTTGAATAAGAAAACCCTTAATTTAGATTCAACACGAGGCACCTTCATCAGCTCCAGAAAAAACTAAGAGATCAAAAAAGCCATCCGTAACGGGTATTAAAAAGATGGGTAAAATGAAAGTATATTCCAAAAAGGGATAACAACATACAAACTTATTGCACATTCACCAAACATGATACCACCATTATCATTGACCACCATTATCATTGCCTCAGTACAGTGAAGTTTTCTTCAAATTCACTATACTAACTGATTGATGATATTCTTGCCTATGTTAGAAATGCCATTTCATAAGTACGATATTACTTTGAAATAGTTTTTTAGAAAAAGAGTGAACTTGTTGAGCTACTAGTTCTTCCTTTCCCTTTAGTAATTAACTTCTCAATTAACAATATTAACGTAATCATCACTAATCAGCATCAGCACAAGACACATAACACATATTTTGATCGTAATGCTAAGTATAGATAAGTACACTAAGTGATGCATACCTTAGGAGTTAAATTAGTAGGCATTTCTTTCAAGTACAAAAAAATCATAAAACAGAATCAATACACAATACGTATATCATGGCTCTAATACTACGTTAAGAAGAGAATCCGGGTTTCCAACTTAAAACTAACGGGTATTAAGTGGAGTAGCCCTTCACCCTTATATACAAGAGGGAATTCCCACAATTGTTCTATGTGGGACAACAATATTTAACAGATAATAGTGTTAGCATTGTTAACAAACCTGTTCACACTTTCCCAAGTTATCCTTGTCACCAGTGTAGCCCTAGAAGATTACAAGAAAAATTAATTAGAAGAAACTGATGGCTCAATTGTTTCATAGGAAAAAATGAAAATTGTAATATTCAGAACCTATATAAAGGTTCACCTTGAGAAGCTCCATCTCTTCCTTGGTTGGGCAAAACTTAATGAGGTTTTCCACCTGGTCAGCATCCAAAATTGATTCATCCATTGCAAGTGCTGCTGCCTGTCAAGTGAACCATCCTTAATGTTACGGAATACAAGAATCAGAATAATTTATAAGACAGATCCATCATATTTAAGGGCACCACCTTCTCAGTCTTACACAAACAAGTTTACAACATAGCTCAATTTCAAATCTGAGAATTGCTATTTAAGCCTTGAAACCCTTCAATAAGAAATGGTAAGTGTTTTTTTTTTCTACAGTAAATACATTTCATTAAAGGAAACACAATAAAATAGATGAGAATACTTTGCATGCATACGTCTGCTTTAATTATGCATGTCAAAAACATGTTAAGGATAAAAAAAAACTCTTAGTATAAATGTGCAGCAGGGAATTTTTCTATCATTTGCTTTAACTTTACTTCAAAATTGAAAAAAGCAATCAAGAATCTCAATGTATTGAGAATTCTATCTCTTCCCAGGCTTGATTGCAACTTCTAGTTAACCTATATTCAAACAATTTGCTTCACTTTTTTAATCTAATAAGATTTGCTATGAACTTAAAGTCATCTATCATAGAGTTATTTGGGCAATTATTTTCACCACTTCACAGTTACAATAAAAGTATCACATATGCATTAGATTAGAAACAATCTGATACTATATTAGTATAAGCACATATACATTGAGAGAAGCCTTCTTCTCTAAGTTCTACCAAATCTCTTACTTTCCGGAACTTTATTGGATGAACAATTATTCTTGCTCATATAATCTCAGTGTTTCATATAAGTATGAGCAACATGCATTCATCACTTTATTTGAAACTTTGTTGATTCAAAAATCTACATGGCAATCTTAAAGAGCAAACTGCAAGTACCAATTAAATAACATAGACTTCAGATAACTGATAATCCTATACCATAGACTATATCGCCGAAAAATAAACTCTAGCATTCTACAGCAGAGAACAAGAAACTGAATGGCTCAACATTAAATAAGCAAGAACCTCAACTCACCACCATATCAGCGAGTGGCATTTTGACTTTTGTGAGCATAATTTCAGTGTTGTTGGCCCTCCTTAGATCAATCTACAAAAATGGTGGTTCAAATGAGAAACAAGAAAGAAAAAATTGATTATGACTTAACCCCTGACATCTAATATCGAGACAATCCTGCAGCTCAATCTATCCAGAAACTCTAGCAAATACAGCCCAGAAGAAAAAAGGAGTACATATGGAGATTGCACAGAAGAAAAAAACTTAGAGCATACATGACCAGCATGTTATAAAATATTAACAATCTGCTGACATTCTAAGTTGAAACAATCTCACAGGTGATGAATAACATCAAAATAGGCTTTTTCTGAAGAAATATAAGTACCAAGTAACTAGGATGAGCTGGGAAGAATTTCCAAATAATGAGTAGGTATACATACAGGTATACTGATGCTGCTTTAATCTTCCTAATGAAGAAATATAATTAGAAAGAATATACGGCAGGTATTAAATACATGAGGCCATATTATAACGTTTATTTTCATTAAAGAGAACAAGAAAATTCTTCCAAATGTCTCTCTTACAGAATAAAATTAAAAAAATGTCAGCAACAAAGCTATTCTGCGTCACCTATATATCTATCATATCTATAAAGTGTTGTTGCTCATTTTTTATCAACTAAGCAGCTTCTCAATATGACTTCCATATAGGCATATTTGTTATTCCAGGCAGGGATATAAAGCGCCATGATAGCAATGACTTTCACTGCCATCCTTTTCTATATGGCCATCAATCTCGTAAGAATGAACTGTCAAGATCCACTTGCATTCCAGTGCAATAATTGTGATAACACAATTCATAGGATTTTACAAATATCAATACTCAGGAGATAGTTCACACATTTTAAGATCTCAAGGTTTTCTATCATTAACCAAAAACATTATAAAGAACTGTTGCAATCGCAAATAAAGCTAACAACTCAACATATTCTATATTGTATCAACTCCTTATTAAATTATTACCAATTCCCCTATAAAGCGCACCCATAACAGAAATGGTTATTGGATTCAGACAACAGTACCAGATGGACTCTGTCAGGCTTAGAACCAGTAGACTTTCGGCGCCCTTCAGATTTGCCACCTGCACCATCTGACTTTGGGACAGTGGCAGAGAAGAGAGACTCAAGTTCTGATACATCAAATTCTGGTGCCCTGTATTTAAAAGAAATGACAACTAGTGTAAGATACAGCAATATATATCTATATAGAGAGAGAGAACCAAATAGTCATTTACAGGGATAGAATCAAAATATATAGTTCAAAAAAGTAGAGATGTTCATGCAAATTGCGTAATGCAGTGTAATGCCATAGTTCTCATTCCTTTCTACTTAGACGTGAAAGAAGGGCTCAAATCAATAAATAACAATAAGGTATGAGCTAACATAAACCAAAAAAAGTAAAAAGAGTAAAGAAAGGGAAATACATTTGTGGCTCCCCAAATCTCTGTAATTCTTCCCACAAGCTTCCTTGTAATACTCTTGTCACCTTGCTCCAATGAAGTGGCTTTAAAGTAGGTCTCCTAGGGGCTGTGCCAGCTGACATCCCAGGACGCAAAAGCCCTCGTCCCCTACCAGATGACAATCCTCTATTCTCCATTGATGGAACCTTTCCACCGAGTGGAGGTGGCGGAGGTCCACTCCCTGGTGGTCTTGGAGGTCCAGGGGGTGGGGGTACAGGAGGACCAGATGCACGACCTCCAGGAGGAGGTGGGGGTGCAGGAAGGCCAGGTGTACGACCTCCAGGGGGAGGTGGGGGTGCAGGAGGGCCAGGGGGACGACCTCCGGGTGGAGGTGGAGGTGGAGGAGGACCAGGTAAATGACCTCCAGGAGGAGGTGGGGGCGGAGGAGGGCCTGGTGCACGGCCTCCAGGGGGAGGTGGGGGTGGAGGAGGGCCAGGTGTACGACCTCCAGGGGGAGGCGGGGGTGGAGGAGGGCCTGGTATACGACCTCCGGGAGGAGGTGGGGGTGGAGGAGGGCCTGGTATACGACCTCCGGGAGGAGGAGGGGGTGGAGGAGGGCCAGGTATATGACCTCCAAGAGAAGGTGATAGAAGAGGTGCCAATCCACCATGCATTGGGGGAGGAGGAGGTGGAGGTGGTGTTGAACCTCCTCGTACCGGAGCTGGTGGGGGAGGAGGTGGTGGAGGTGGTGCTAAACCCCCACGCATCGGAGGTGGTGGAGGGGGTGCCCCATGTGAAGGCGGCGGAGGTGGTGGTGGTGGTGGAGGTGGAGCACCAAATGCAGTAAGTGTTACACTTCCATGCATTGGAGGAGGAGGTGGAGGTGGAGGAGGTGGTGTAGGACGTGGGAATGTTTGTGAAGAGAAAGAAGCTACATGTAAAGAAGGTGGTGGAGGAGGAGGTGGAGGTGGTGCCGGTGCCCCTATACGAGGAGGTGGAGGGGGAGGTGGCGGTGGCGGTGGAGGCAAATGTGCAACATAGTTGGAGGGTGGAAGAGGAGGTGGAGGTGGCGGCGGAGGTGGAGGTGTAAAAACTCTACCAATAGTTTGTGTACTAAGAGAGAAAGGAGGAGGAGGAGGAGGAGGAGGAGGAGGCGGAGGGGGAGGGGTAGGGATAGTTTCTTGTAAAGTTGACCATGAGCTTGTATTTGTATATGGAAATGATGTAGGGGGAGGAGAATATGAAGGAAGTGGAGGTGGAGGAGGAGGTGGAGGTGGGGGCGGCTTGCTAATCAATGGCCCATATGAAAGAGGTGGAGGAGGGGGAGGAGGAGGTGGTGGTGGCAGCGGCGGTTGAGCAGAGGAAGCTAAAGGGGATGGGGATAATGAAGAGTTATCTAAGACATCATTTTCTAATTCAGGAGTAGAAGGCAGCCTAGGGGACACAACCTCTTTAACTTGAGATAATCCTACTGATGTCGAACCCGATCCACTCTTTGGGCGCCCTGATGCCGAACTTCTCCTGGATGTAGTCATTTCCGAAGATGTCGGACCAGATTTTCCCCCAGGAGAGGCATCTTTCGCAACAGCTAATGCTGCAGGAGCACTGTTATATCTCGATGGCGGATAATAAACATGCATCGAATCAGTGTAAGAACCTTTATTCGACGGAATCCACCTTGACACAGCAGTTGGCTTAGCCACCCGCACTCCCTGCGGCTCTTGCTGCTTAGATTTCTTGTTTGTACCAACTCCATCTGAAGCAGTCTTCAAACCAGAACCTGCCTGCTTTTTCGACCCTGTTGTAGACCCCTTATCCGATTTCAGCTTATTGTTATTACCATTATTATCGGCGCCATATTTCTGCTGTTGAACCTGCCTATCGATATCCTTTGCTGGAGGTACTTCTTCATTTTGCTTGCTACCTGAATTTGAAGAACTTTCAGAATTACTATCCACATCGAAAATCAGAAGCCTCGGCTCAAGTTCAGTATTCATATTGGGAAGTACATTATTACCCGGGTGCATCTTGCCATCATGTCCGTTGATCCCCTCTTCGGAAGAACAATCTTCAAATGTATGATGATCCAAATCATCTTTCAAGAATTCTTTATGATTTGCATGATTACTGCCTTTTTCCTCATCATTAGACTGAACTATATCGCTAGCATTGCTGAATATCTCTTCTGCCTCGTAAAATTCCTCCGGAGAGGCATTTTCTGCTTCGTTGTCATCTTCACTTGCTGCTTCTTCCGAGCTTGCAATCGAATGCACAGAGTCCGTGTCTAAAAAGAGCACCTGATATAGAAAAAATATTCACTCCTTTCTCAGATATCGAGTAACATAATACAGCATGACAAAAAACTTACCTCGGCTTTAAATTCTTTCGAGAATTGGTCCTTGGCGTCCCAAAGAACATCAACATCATCGCGTGTTAGCAACAGAACATTTGACCTAACGAATGCCGTATGGAACATAACTCTAAAAATCATCTCTTCCCGCACTAGATCATCCTCCAAATGTATGCACTCGAGAACAATATCTCCTTGGACGTGGTAACGGAGATTGATTTTAACAAGTTCACACTCTTCCTGCAGAAACACATTTAGTAACAATATTTGCACTTCACAATCACATGTATCTGAATAATTGTAGAATTACCGATCGATAGAGACGAATACGCTTTTTCAGCTTAGATGATGAAAACAAAAGCTTAGAATTTCTAGTGGATGTCTTCAAAGAAGGATCCTGACCATACACGCGAACCACCGGCCGACATCCTCTCCCGCCATTGTACATTGGAAGGTTTCTAAGAATAACACAATCCAAAGCCAGAGGAGTATCTGACGGCGGCCAATCTGAACCAAAATTTCTTCTCGAAACATACTGAAGGTATCTGAGCTGAGACGGTTGAGGATTCAACGGAGACAAAAGATGAAGAAGCTCCCGAGGTGCTTGCTTGTACACCATTTCAAGAGTTTTCTGCTCCCCCGTGTACTGTTTTCGGTACAGAAGAAGACCAGCAAGCATGAAAGCCAGCACAGGCCACCCTCCCCTTTCGCAGTGCATCAAAACAACATTTTGCTGGCCCTCGAGCGACAACCAGCTCTCACTGGACCTAAGGAAGTGGTGGACCATCTCCAATGGTAACAGCGGACACCCTTCATACTGCCGAGGGTAATCCATTACTGTCATATCATACTGTGACAAAACGTCCGATAACTTGCTCCTTCGATCGCCTTCTTTGAAATTGAAAACCATGAAAGCAGCTTCAGGGTAGTGATCCTGTAGCTGAGCCACAATCCCATTCATGTATGTTCTGTACTCATCTTCATTGAGCACATCGGTTGAGAAGCAGCAGTCGAACACTGTATTCAGCAAAAATCGAATACTATCAAAATTCTAGAATTCAACAGAGATGTTGTTAATGTTACACATAGCTTTTTGTAGCATGAAAAACAGACTACACTATCTTCCCGAGATGCGAAATAGGAATTTCAAATCAGAGGTAAAACATTGAAAGAAATAATCATGTAACTCGTAAGTGTGGCAATCTTAATCTTGTCCAACTTCGCACAATCCCCTCAAGGTCTTAATTATCTTCATTCCTTAAAACATTTTTGCTTACCAACAGCCCCTCATAAGCTCTAAATTAGTAAAATTCACAAACAACTCATCATCCAATGAACAAGAATCTCATTAATTGAAATGAACATAGGCAGTCAGAAAATCTATAGCAATCATATTGTTCTCAAATTTCAACACATTTCGCTCACATCCAAGCAAACTCCATTCATCATTTCCAAACCCTCACAACAAAGACCACCAGCTGACGAACTCTAGCCCAAATCCAGTTTGAAGTTTGAAGCAGCATTCAAAAGTAAACCCTAAATATTTTGTAAAAACAGCTGGAAATGCGTACCGTAGACCCTCTCGGAGATCTCGAGCAGCCGATCCGGCGGCTTCCTGTAGAAGAATCTTCTAAACAGCGCCATCTACCAAACTGGATTCAACCTCCCCAATTCAATCTTCCAAGATACGCCAAAATTTTAACAGATCTTCAACGCTCACCACTTACCGCCGCAATGCGATCCCAAAATCGAACAAATCCGATCGAAATTGGAACCGCAAGTCAGCGGTGAATCAACCCTAGCAGCAGAGGGCTTTGACCCGCAGAAATCCAACAGTAAATTAAGTCGTTAATTCCCAAAGTGATCGGAAACCATCATTTGAGATCTGCCGGCAAGAAAACCGTTCGAGTCCTTCCGAAACGTCGTATTCCGGCGATCGACAAAGTCGGACAACGAATGTGTAGGTTTTGAGTAGTTGGTGGAGCTGTAGCAGCTCCGGCGAGTCTGGTAATCGGGATCTGGATTGGTTGTGGCGGGGTTTAGTTAGTACGCCCTGCTTGGTTTGCAGAGGTACAAGTGGGATGATGGTGCCAGGTGTTGGTCGGATTCGTTTTCTCTTTCCGGATTCGGTCATGAGTCAGTGTGCGGTGGGCACATCTTGTTCATCCATCCATCCATCCAAGAATTGGTTCGATGATGATTCAGGCAGGCCCTGGAATGAGGAATCGGGTTTGCTTTGATAATCAGATGTCGGGTTTTGATAATGATGATGATGATGGTGATGATTTTAGCTTTTTGTTTACCAATTGATGAATAATGTAGTCGACTGATTCTGACTTGACGACTGGATATGATAAATGTTTTCTTTTTTTTTTCTGAAAAATAAAATAAAATTAATTATTTAAAATTTTATATTTTATTTGTGTTTGATTTTTGAAATTTTTATTTTTAAAAATTTCAAAAATCAAACACATCAAAGTTTAGGGTTAGTTTAGGGTGTATTTTGATGTGTTTTATAAGTGTTTTTATTTGAATTTTAAATTAAAATTATCAATGTTTAATACGTAAATTTTTAATAAAAATATATTATTAAAAATTAATTTCAAACTAAAACTTTGCTTAGAAATTTCATCATAGTTTTATCATTTTATATTTTTAAAATTGTTGATGTATTTTTTCAACAAAAATAAAGTAAAATTCAAAGATATAGAAAATATCCTTAAACTTGATTAATTAGTGCCTGAGATTAGGAATCTCTAAACACTGTATGGTACAGAAAATAAACTGAAAAATAAAAGACTGAAATTTAAAGTGGTGATCCCCAAATCTGACTTTGTTTTGTTGAAGTTGATTGAAGATGCCTTGCCAAATGATGATCCAAACCCTTAAATATTCTCTGGGAAATTGTACTGAAAACCGTCGCCCGAACGGTTACAACGTCTCCTTCCCAACCGTCTTCCAACCCTTCTCCTGCTGACACGTGTCCTCAACGGACCACAAATTATCACTATATTTCACTCTTTGAGCCGACCACAGATCTTCCGCCCTTTTGGCCCGACTGCCAATCTACGACCGACTTGCAAACCATCTGACTGGTTGGTCCAGCCGCAGAATCCCGACTTGAGGACCTCTCGACCTGTCCGACCTGAGGACCTCCCGACCTGTCCGACCTGAGGACCTTCCGTCCTAAGGACTTTTCGACTTGCGGACTTTCCGACCTGAGGACCTCCCGACCTGCGGACTTCCCGTCCTGATGACTTTCCGTCTTGAGGGCCTCCCGACCTGAAAACCTTCCGACCTGAGGTCTTTCCGTCTCGAGGACTTTCCGTCCCGAGGACTTTCCGTCTTAAGGGCCTCCCGACCTGAAAACCTTCCGACCTGAGGTCTTTCCGTCTCGAGGACTTTCCGTCCCGAGGACTTTCCGTCTTAAGGGCCTCCCGACCTGAAAACCTTCCGACCTGAGGTCTTTCCGCCCTGAGGACTTTCCGTCTTGAGGACCTCCCGACCTGAAGACCTTCCGACCTGCGGTCTTTCCGTCTCGAGGACTTTCCGTCCCGAGGACTTTCCGTCTTGAGGGCCTCCCGACCTGAAAACCTTCCGACCTGAGGTCTTTCCGTCCTGAGGACTTTCCGTCCCGAGGACTTTCCTTAGAAATAAACCTATTTTCCTTGATTTCCTCACGGTGTCCTTCAGCCAGTTCAATCAACTCTATTGCCAGGCCCATTTTTCTTTTACTTTGGGCTTTTTAACCTAATTCTAAATTTCATGCGTAACAAAAATATTAAATTAAATACTTATTTTTTTATTTATTATATTATAATAAAATTTATTTACATTTAAAAATTACATTACTATATATTTATATCATATTAAGTATTTATTGTCAATTCCCAATTTTACTATTTAAAACTAAAATCACATAAATAAACACAATTTAAATAAATCTTATGTAATTTGGTATATTTTAGAATAGCAAAAATTTTAAATTACAGAATTTATTCCTTTATAATTTTAAATTAAAATAAACCTATTGATTTTGCAAAAGATTTCTAACAAAAATATATTATTTTTTTATAAAATATTATTTTTAAAAAAAATTCAAATCAACATATTATTTCAAAATTATACCATAGAATATAAATAGATATTAATATCAAAACAAGCATTAATGTTTTTAAAAATTAATTATATAATATAATATTATACTAATATCTATTTATTTATATTATATAAAATAATTATTTTAATTCAAATTTTTAATATTTAAAACTTACAACCAGAATTGAATTGAATGATAATTAAATATAGGGTATATCCCTTCATGTTTATGTTTTTTTAGTAAGTATATTTTTTTTTATATTAGATATGAAAAATTAAATTAATAATATAAAAATAATATTTTTATATTAAATTATTAATTTTTTTAACTATCAATGATATATTTATTTAAGTTGGACACAAGTTTTAATTAATATTAGAGTATTATGTTAATTGATTGTAATATAAGGGGAAAGAGTAAAAACTATATGATAGTCAATTAGATGAAACATAAATTTTGATAAATTAAATATATAAATAGTTATGACCTTTTTGTAAATAAAAGTGATATTTAAAGATATTTAATTAAAAAACATGCTATAAAAGAAAAGTATGTATTTATCGTAGAAAAATAAAAAAGAAAAAAAAAGACATAAATTTAATGAACAGATTAAGTATATATTTCATAAGTTTATATATATTTAGTATGTTAACTTACATTTTTCAATGAAATAATGGTCATAAATATTATTAAAAAATAACAAGTGTATATAAACATTAATATAATATATATCCAATAACGGAACTAGCTTTCTGACTTTGGGGTAAAAAAATTTTATGTTATTTTTATTTTTTTATTATTCGATTTCAGTTTTATTTGAACCGATAATTTTGCTTACTTATGCGTGAAAAAAAATTATAAGAACCTACTCACCAGTTTACTACCATTAATACAACTTCATTTTCTATCTTTTATTCATTTTTTTTTTTACAATATAGTAAAATTATGAAGAAAAAATAAATAAATAAATGAAAAGAAAAAAATATAGAAAAGGAAAAAAATATATGGTAATATTGTAATAACATTGAGAATATAAAATTATATTTTTTATATTAAATATTTATAATTAAAATTATTATATAATATTATAAATTAAAATAATGAATTTAGGGATAAAATAGAATAAAAATTTTGAATCAGTAGGGAAAAATTACATAATTAGATTAAAATAAAATTATTTTTACTTAAAAAAAATAATAAAAAATAAAAAATTGGAGGGGCAGTTGCCTCAGGACCTTTGTCTCTGTATATATCATTCACTGATACAAAATCAATTATTCAATACAAAATATTATTTTTTATAGTATCAACACAGTTTTTTTCCTACCACAGTTAGTTTAATTAATTAATTAATCATATTTAAATTTTGATTATTTTTTAATTATCTTATATAATTAAACTAACTTTAAATTGTGGCTCACTTTTCTTCCATTAAGTCTATCACATTCAAAATATACGTGAGAAGTGGCAGAAAAATCGTGATTGACGGTTTCTCCTTTTTTTTATTATTATAAATACTCTCACATACGGGTTACTAAACATACTCTCAAAATTAGAATACACCATCGCTATTTGAAAGCAAGGGTTTGGCAACGCCATCATAGGGTTCCAGGATCCAACACCTTCTTCTCACGGTTCCAATCTACTGTTCTTGAAGGAGAAGATGTCAAGAATAAATTTAATTTTGAGCAATGGCTGGAGGTTTGTTTAAATTTCGCTACCCGCTTCCGCTAACATATTTGATTAGATGTTTATTTTCTAACATTTCATATAAGAGCTATTTTGCCTCTGCCTTGCTTTGAATTTTCTTCTCACCAAATTCTTGATCAAGATTCGCTTTAATTTCTTATTTGAAAATAATTTGGTTTTTTTTTATTTACAACAATTGCTTTGCGATATTTTCTTGATCAAGATCCGATCCTGCGGTTTGAGAAATTTTCAGTCTGTTTTTAAGGAAAATTTTGAATTTTATTTTGAAATTAATTTATACAAAATATTAAAATTCTGAATTTTCCTTGTGTTTTGATGGAGTGTTCAGATTCTTGTGTAATATCTTATGAGCGCTTCATATCTGTATCAACTTGTATGCACAATTAATTACCTTGAGGAAGTCTTTCCGTATTGAGTATTGAGATATTTTATTTATCAATGGATCTGAATTACATTGGTGTGAATTTTCATTATTGCTTGTCGATTTGTCGTAACCGACTTCCACTGCGTTTGCAGTAATTGAACTCATTGTTGCTTTATTTGTGCGCCTCTTTTTCTTGAAAGAAAGTACTTTCTGAATTCGAAACCAAATTAAGATGCATGAATTGACATATTTGCAATGAACGTTGCCCAAGATTCAATCTGTTTTGTCTTTAATGACTGATCTTAATCCACTTATTGGGATAGCAACGAGAATAAAATATATATGGATTCTAATGAGATAAGACATGCATATGTTTGGTTATAGCTAATTTGGTCATAACTATTGTCTATTTGACTGTCTGTGCACTTTTGATTATGCGTAACTATTCTTGAAATCAGATTAAGATGTGAGATGCTGCTATTCATTCATTATCATAATTTCTTGAAATATTTTATGGAATTAGAATTATTCTCATATATTTTAGAGATAATTTGCTTCCGTGGCAATTTTTATTTAAATTGAATACATATGATTAAATTGATTTTTTAAGTGTAGAATCATATGTGCGTGCATAAGAATGTAATCATGTCCGTACAATTTGGGTGTTTGTTCATTTATTTATTCATATATTTTGTGTAAATCAATTGATCAAACATGCATCCATATTCGTAAGTGTGCTATTGGAATTGGAATTGCACATGTATATGCGGCAGCTGTTAGTTTAGTTTATTCATTTAATTTTGGTCAAAATAATTTTGCAATTTGGCAATATATAATTGTGAATATTTATATGCAATTATGACCATGCATCTGCAATTTATGGGATCAGTTTATGAAATCATGCGGATCCATTTATTTGATATTTGTATCAATATGGTGTTCTAATTTAATCAGTTTGATTTATAAACATAATTTTGAATTCATTCTGATCCGTTTGATGATCTAGTTAAATTAGAGACAAAGTAGCATATGTTTTCGACATTATGCATTTATGCAAATTCGACTATAAATATTCATTATATTAAATTTATAGTCTCTTTGGGTGACATATTTTTG